GCTTGCCGCACGCCTCCCAGCAAGCAGCTCTTCAGCAGTAGAAATGATTCCCCCCCTCCCCAGGTTCAGTTAGAATTAGACAAGGATTAGCCTACGCAAATACACGAGGTTTGAGAACAGCGTATCCAGCGTGTTGTTTAAGGTTTATTGTGGTATTTCAATATCTTCTGTATTTGGTTGTCTCACAAGCTGATGTTCTTTAATCTTCAAAATTTGTTACCAGTGCCTTGCCCCCTCCACAAAGGAGGAAAATAGTAGACCCTGCTCTTTCTGCTATTTGCTCAATTTGTGCTCGCAGCCAACAACCAAGGACAGCATCACCCACCCGGCATTTCACTTGACATGACTGCAGTCTTGCAAGGATGGAAACGTGTTGGCCTCTCACTTTCTCATGCCCCAAGCAGGTGCTGAGGTCTTTCAAGCCACCAGAAATAGGATGAAAGCGAGCGCACCAAACTGTTCAAGCTGTTAGTAATACAAACAAGCAACACAAAAGGCTCAAGTTTATTTGTTTTGGCAAGCCTGCTACTGGAAACGTGGCCTACCAGGTCTTTCAGCATCTATTTAAAGCCCCCAATTACTTTTCCCTTTGGCTGCCACCTAGTATGTCAAATTTTTACAGTGGAATTAAAATGTCCCCAAGACATAGGCGTATGTAATGGAAACAATGACCTACATGAACTGGGAGTTACTGTACCAAATAAACCATTTCCTTCAGTCAGGGTCGTGTTTTGCAGTGCTAGCGATCACTCAGTCATAAAAGGGCGGGCTCGGAATTCATTGTTGCTAAGGTTTACAAATTCACCATTTTTCTGAAGGATACACTACGAGCATGGAGTGACTTTTCCAGTGGTACAATACAGGAATGCACAAATTATTACACTGTTTTATATTTAACATTTATTGCACCTCAGTGGTTCATAGCCTGGTAAGAAAGCCTGTTACTGTACACTTTGGTTGACTTTCTGCCCAACAGCTGGAACTGAAGCTGGGTGCTGGCCACATAGAATGATATGTAAGTGAGCTAACAACTATCACCACACAGAGCTGGCTAAAAGATGCAAAGAAAAAATAACAGTTAATGGCCGCTGGCCAAGGGAAGCAGAACACACGAACACAGCGGGGCTGAAGCCTGAGTGAAGTGCAGGAAAACGGCATCAAATGTGCTGCCCGGTGCAACAGTCAGGAAGGATCCTGGACACACCTGGCTGAAGCCGGCATAGAGCAGTACGTAACTTCTACTTTTCTGTTCTAACCTCTGCACCAGGTACTGTTCTTCAGCTGACCAATATGTGGCTTTGTGTTGTTTGGAAGGGGCTATCTATACTGTGCACACTGTTTTACAGAGGTCCTACAGGGATTAAAAACCTTCAAGGATAGCAACCCAGTTTTTAGAGTTTTTCTGCTCTGCAAAAATCAGAATGCCTAAACCCAGCATTTGGAAGTGAAATGCTTCCATAGAGAACATGGCCAAAGACTGTAGCAAAGCAGTTCTTTCTGTGATAACTGACAGAGTAAAAGATTGTTAATTCAACAGTGCTGTTAAAAAAACCCCAAAAAACAAACCCAAAACATTCTAAGAATTTGTTCTCTGTGTTTCTGTGACACTAAACCTTGTTCACAATTCTGTTTAATTACCTTTTTTTTCTGGTAAATGTCCATGAGAGTGTTACTACTTAGAACAGAGCAGTATTTATATCTCTTACAAAGAGCAGTACCATTATTATTCAGTTTGCCATTTGCTTTCAAATGCCTTAGTCTATATCATGATTTCAGCAAAAATCTCAAGATTGATTTCTGTATCATCCTCAGGCTCCAATTCTTCATTGTGATCCTTTGGAGAGGTGTGTACGTTTTGTTCTTGAATGGTCTTTCTCTTTCTTCTGTGGAAGTACACAGAGCGATTCTTATCCGTCTCATCAGAAGGTGAGGTGTTTGCACTGACAGCAGTTCCCAAAGCTAACTCTAAGCTTTTGTATAATCTAGAAAGAAACAATTGTGTAGTTACTATTTTTGTAGGCTTGCCCAGGATCTGCAAAACTACTCTGAGAAACTAATGCTTTTGTAATACAACCAAAACATGCTAAGAGAAGAAAATCGTTACTAACACTGAAATGTTCTGGCCAATACTGGAAGAAAAATTAGGAATATCAGCACATGTCCTTGTGTATGCCATGCCACTTCTCTCTGTAATGTTTGTGTGTTATAAATCAATTAGAGAATGTACTCATGTGCCATTAAGCCCCTGTTCATCTTACAGAAACTATAAAATGGTATCAGGTTAAATATCTGATGAATGATAGCATTAATTATCAGATGGACTGCTACTATTAGCAATTACTTTTAACTTCAACAACTACAGAGATTCTCAATGGACATACAAAAAGAAACTGATCTTAGTACATGTAGGTGTTTCTCCAGCGTCCTTTTGATCCTCATGCTCTTTGGCTCTTCTGCCTATTCTGTTCCTCAGCTGGAGACAAAAGCCACAAAGTGTGTGTAACCTTCCACTGCCTTCATAAATCATCAGTTTTGGAAACTATACAAAGCATTTAGTGGATTAAAGTGTGCACTGCAATCTGAGTACTTCTGAAATGGTTACTGTGTTAGAATAAGAAACGCTGTTATCATTAGAAAAAGAAACTTAAACCCTACTCAGTAACAGAGACAGTATGCAAACTCATGTTGTTTATAAGCTTTTGCTTAAACAGTTTATAGTCTTCAGAGTTTGAAAAATTAATTGAAATTGTATTTTAGATTTCGGGGGAGGTTGTCTGGTTGTGGTTGTGTGTTTTTATTTTTTCTTTAACATAACCACTCTCAGTTTTGGATTTAGATGTCATGAATAGGACTGGTGTACTCTTACAAACCTGTCAATCCTCCTTGTGTTTTCTTCCATTTTCCGATTAGCTGCATGTATCAGAAATTCAATATATTCTTCGGAGACCATCAATTTCCCCTTATGGCTCAATGGAACTTCTAAGCAATGAGTGCTCCGGACAGCCTAAAAACACACACAGCGGATTTACCTAGAATAAAGTTTTTTATTTTCTGAAGGTAATTTACATAATGTGGGGAGTTCATTACAGGAAAAAACCCACTTATCCACACAATTGGTTAGTTTGCTGTCAACTAAAGCAGAAAGGTATTTCTTTGCTAAAGCATGCCCTGTGATAGCTGTCAATCACATTGCAGTTCAGATCTTGGCTCATAAAAAAAAAATCAAGGTTAACAGTAATGCTAAGATTTTGTTACATTCCTTACAGGTAAGCAGAAGAGTCCTTACCATCATAATTTTTCCTCCTCTGCCAACCGTAATACCAGAGTTCCTGAACCCAGAATCGATAGCCACTGAATGCTGCAGAACAAATGAATACCTTAAACAGGTCTTATACACTTTCACAGCAAGAAATAATTATGGATGGGTTGAAATGCAGTTTAGAATCTCAGTTTTGCAAAAAAACTTATTCAAAACTATCTCCCCAAATTAATGCAATAATGGTTACATTAAAATGTTTTTAAGATCAAACCCACGTAGTATCACAAACTGTGGTTGGTTTTCAAAGAACCACAGTCAATCCTGATTGCCTAATCTTAATCCATTAGTGCAGATGGGATATTAATGTCTCTCTGAGCACTGTACTGTTTTATCTTGAAGAGCTGCTAACCATACAGACAGTTGTGCAACACTTTTATAGCTAGAAGTGCAGCAGTACTGTAAAAGAAGGTAATCAGCTCTCTTCTACATTAATGAACGAACAAAGCCATCATGCATTACTCTCCAGAGTCATTCTGGAAAAGCAGAAGGCAAAGGTACTACTCAATTAGTTGAAATACTGGAGCCAAATGGCCTGGCCAGTAGCATAATGACATCTACAAAACCCCATCACTTTCAGCCAGCAAAAGCAACCCAGGCTCACTGGGAAAAAATTTTTACCAGGCAACCTGCTTTAGCTCGAACACTTAATTGTAGTTAAGCAACTTTGTTTTCTAAAAAGTACAGCAAAATCTCTACTAAGTTTAAAGCTATGTTTTCTTCATCAGCTTACTTTTATTACCCTAGTTATTAAACACACACAACATCTGGGACTATTCTTAAGTGCTAAAGCTTACTCAGGAGCCAATGCTTTTACAGCAAGGAATATAACAGAACAACAATGTAACATTGTTACTTGATATAATTTTACCAGAAGCTGTGCATCTTGCAGCTCTTGACATAGCACATGAAGAACAAATGGTTCAAACTTGAGCACAACGTCACCAGTGGCTTTCTCTAGTGCTGTCATCTGGAACATACACCAAAACATTTATATTAATACTGGAAGTGTGTGCTGTTACTACCAAAAAAAGAGAAAATAACAGCTAGTTAGTGTGTGATACAAGCATTAAAAATGCAGCAAATAAGTTCCAAGCAATCAGGTTTGTTCAGCTGCTTTTGATTTTTCATTGCTGATAATACACACAAATTCCATGGATTACCATGATTCTGTTTGCTAAACTGATTAGGTCTGATAGAAATTCATCGCAAGATAGACTTCAAAAACTTGAAAAAGTGCGCTTCCCTGTTTATTTCTTTGTACATTCAAACGAATGGATACAGTCAATACAGTGTGGGAAGAGGACTGTTTTACTGCAATCGGATGAAACCTGAGCAGGTTTTTTTAGGTTGTTTTTTTTTTTTTAAACTGTTCTTTAAAATCAAAGGCATTTAGTTTCTGAAGTACATTTCTCAACTTCAGAAATCCTTCTGGTGTTCAGCAGATTAAATTCATGGCCTAACATACTTGATCACATTTTAATCTTAGATTAAATAATAATGCATAGCCTACTGTATAAGATTATAAAGATAAAAAAAAGAGGTTGAAACTAGAGGCATAAACCCACAAGACAAGAAAAAAAAAACCAAACAACTTCATAATTGTAAAATTCAAGAAATTACCTTCAGACCTCTCAGTTCTGCTAGAAGACTGAGACATTAGTGGCAATTTTTCCTGGATTTGCAAGTGTGAAGAAAGCTATGTGACATTCTGCATGGCTTGCTACTACAATTTCTCTAATTTTCTGTGCTGTCTTTATGCAGAGGAATCTGATATTACTTTCTTCTATTCAGAAAGGTCACTTTGAGGCAGTTATATTACTTATTTCATTGTATGATTATTTAATCATAAGTACTGTTTGCCTTCACTTGCTTAATTCACAGCACTAAAAAATTTGCTATGTTAACTTGAAAAATTTCAGCTGTTTTCCCATACTTTGTTGTTTTGTCTAACCCTTCTCATCTTATAAAATGAAAATATTCAATAAAATATTCAGGAAATAATCAAATTCACATGTTTTTTAAGACATGATGGCATAAAAGAAAACTGCTGAAGTAACACACTCTCCTTCCCTTTAAACATTGAAAAGTATTTAAATGTATTTATGCAGCATCTCCTCCATAAATGTTCTTATTTTAAGTTGAAAGCAGGTCTTTCTGAATGGCTAAGTTTGTAATTTGTGCACCAG